AATTAATTATATCATTCCTTGCATATAAAATCACCATTGCACATCTTAAAGATCGTCGGATGCTTGGTTCTGCTCGGTCTTTTTTTCGTTGGTGTAAAATTTGATGATTCTTTTTGAAGAAACCATACATATTTATAACCGAATTACCGACTAGATAGATTTGCTGCTGCAGCGTACGGTATACGTTAATGTTATTTTATGAAATCACCTAACCACAATATGACTCACAGCTTTCAAGAATGTTATATTATTGACTATGTTTGTTGGGTAGGCCTATATCAACTTTTAATGTGTCAGCGATTAATCTCGTTATTAAGAATTTACTTTTTTCAGAGCATATTCAGAGATGTCTGAAATGGGGGCGGGGCGATCCCCGGTGTGATCGAGAGACAACACAAATTTTTGTTTTCTAGACCCCTGGAAATAACATTTGAGTCGGTTTTTTTTTTATTCTCTCTTTTCTTTTCATTTTGTTTTTCTGTCCAAAAGACCAGAAGGCCCCACCCCCTAAATTTCCCCTGATTTTTTGAATCGAGTATACCAGGACTAAATGAGTTTGTATGGGTACAAATTTATGGATTTTCTCTGTCTTCAGCGACAATTCACCAGACAAGGAGAGCCCTACGGAAATTGCACAAATACACCCACCGCAGATATGAATGCAATTTTTAAAAACGACTCTGTTTATACAGTAACGGTATGTGTGGCATTACTTATTTTTCCTACTGAGCTTTATTTTTGCTACTGGGTTCGATTCAAAAAATAATGATAGCCTCGCAAAAAGCAGCCGAGGTCGTTGTTTTTGCGAGTCCGCCTAATGCTATCCACTGGAGGTGTTTAATTTTGTCTGCAATATCCGTCTGTTCGTTCACTAGCTATCTCTCCATACATCCGTTCAATCATCAACTCATCTGTCTAGATCTGTCTATTTATCCATCCATTCATCCAGTCATTCATTCATTCATTCATTCATTTAAAACCTATTAATCAAATCCCTCCATTTATCCATCTATCTATCTGTCTATCCATTCATCCATGCATTTACTTCCATCCGTCCATCCTTCTATTGATTCATTCTTCCATCCATCCAATCACCTACTCCTCTATTTTTCTACTTAGGCCTACATGAAACCCTACGGTATTATTTCAATTTAAATCTATTGAATTACGTCACCCATCAACGTAGGCGTACTCTATCTGGCTATGTATAGGCCTATATATATAGCAGAATATAACATACCGTACGTAAGGAAAATGGTAGACCAGGGACCAATTTAATTAAAACACAATCAATGCAGATCAAAATAATAATTAAAATTATCTTTCTAAATGAAATTTATATTAATATTTAAACGACGAGATTCGAGAATATTGTATCACAATTTTGCAACTACATGACAAGGGGCAGCAATATTTGCTTACTTGGTGCATATTGGAAACATAAATTTCCTCATATTGATTATTAATAACACTTTAGCAGAATATTTGTTTAAGTTTCTTATCTTAATTACCAAAGGCATGTCAGAAGGCTTGCTTACAGCGTGTGTTGACGGAGTACTGCGACTGTGTTGATACAATGTTAACAGAAGGCGTCAGTCGTTGCCGCCTATTAGACAATGAGCAAGGTATCGTCTATCGTATAAAATAAAGTGACATAATGCTATATTTCTTTCGATTTATGTAAATTTAACCAGAAAATTCGACATCCCATCGATGTCTTAAGTATCGCGTAACATGAAAGTTATGCTATCTATTTTTAGGCTCATAGTGAACATGGCCAAGTTTCAAAGGCGTTAACAAATATTAATTGTCAAATAACGTACGTATAACATATCTTGTCAGTAATACACCATTCATACAGCTATTTTAATGTTAATTTTTCTGTTTATATGACCCTTAAATCAGCCTATGGATTTTAAACGTCCTTAATTGACGGTTCCATAATCATTGGATGTACTTGATGCAGTATCTGTAGGCAGACTACATAAATCTCGCTTTTAAGAAGTATGTAATTTTAAAGGCTTGGGTATTGTTTGTTTTCATTCTGGAATTCGTACCACATACCATACTGTCGAATGTGAATTAAAAATAAAATAAAATTGGCTTAAAGTATCAAAAACACATATTACATTTTTGAATGACAAGAGATGGTGTTTATCGTCCTATAGGGTTTTCTTTTTATTATTATTATTATGTCAGTTAATATTCTGACATTCTTTGACAGGTTTGCGGTTCAATTTCTCCAGTTTGACCTATTTTCAGGTGTACAGTAAGTTAAAAAGCCATAAGCCAACTATTTATTTTATTTCATGAAACATTTTTTGTCTATTTTATTATCTGATTTAGAACGATGTCGGCAAGTTATTAACTTTCTTCACAGCCTTCAGTTAACCGATTGTGAATGTCGCATTCCATGCAGGTAGGTAGCTTAAACGTAAAATAGCTGTAGGCCTACGGAAATCGTTATGTAGTGCGCAGTCATTCGGTTCAAAGTAAATGGTTCGAACTCTCAGTTCGAACCTTGGAGAGAAACGGGCTCTAAGGCCTAGAGGTATTTTATTTCGTGAATTATCAAATTTAACTTCACTCCACTCTAAAAGTCATGGTTTAACCATAATCCCTGCTCATAAACACAAATCACTCTCACATGCAACTTTTGCATTTTTTTAATTATTATATATATATAATATATATTATGTATATATATACATATTTTATGTATATATAGGCCTATATATGTGTGTATATATGTATATGTATATGTATTATATATGTATAATATCATGTATATGTATATATGTATTATGTGTATATATAGACAAGTTTTTAACTTCTAATTTGATTCCTAAATCGTAATTTATAGCTCTTTATTGTATACTTTCACAAGAAAATCGATTTGAATAAATGTTACTGAATCTGAAAATGCAAAGCACATTAAGATAATAAGTTAAGTATACGAATTAATTCAAGCTGATGAAAATACACCATTGTATAATGTATTTAAAACTAAGATATCTATTTAAAACTGAGATATCTCTATTTATAACTAAGATATCTCTATTTAAAACTAAGATATCTCTATTTTCATTGTTAATAGAGATATCATAGTTTTTAATAGAGATATCTTAATTTTAAATAGAGATATGACAATGGCAATGGTTGGAGACTTATATAGCGCATAATACATGGTCTCTATGCGCTCGGGACTAGATGTTGCACTTTACAATACCATTCTTCTCCCCTAAGGGTCACTTCATGTTTTCAGCAGCCAGTAAACCGGCGCACTTTCATCTGTCCACGACAGGGGCCGAATGAACCAGAGATATCTCTGTTAATAGAGATATCTTAGTTTTGTTTCCTGTTGCAATGTCTGATGTGATAGCGTATATCTTAGAATGTGGTAGGAATCTGTTTTGGCAGCAGCGGATTGATTCCCGATGTGATTAGGTTTATATATGCGCAGAGCTGTGTGTGTCCAAGGACTCTGGCTATCAGTTAGGTTCTTAAAACATACTCCCACCATCCACTGTCATACTATATTCATGCTATATTTAACGAAATTATTTCGTAACAGATGTAATAACGATCAATAAAAGCTAAATATAACATTCACATGCAAATAATGATTTAACCTTTACATTTTCATATTCATTTGCTATTTCAGATCATTTGTTTTGATTTTATAGATCTATCATTTTTGGATCTGTTAAATTTGTTTAATCCTACATTTCATCATATTAATCATTTTATTAATTTATATATTTCCACTCCAATTAGTTACGTTTATATCCCAACATTGAGGTCAGTCAGGGGTTCTCGCGCTGGAAGTCGTTTGTGTCCTTGGGCTAGGCACTTTATCTACGTTTGTCTCTTTCTACATAGGAATACAAATGCGTTGAAATTTTCTTTGTGACATTTATTTCCCTAGTGTATGGTGCAATCTCCCTGCTAATCTTCGTAATGAACTTTAACATATACGGAGATTAGCAGGGATGAACTTAACAATTTTATAACTAAACTTAATTCTTTTTACCTCTGTAACTGATTAGTTTGCTGCCCATTTTAATATGAATGATTGACGTTCTTACAGTGTTCTGTTTTTGTTTAACGATTGTGTTGCCTTTTTAGCAGTTTTAATGTTATTTGTTGTCTATTTATAGCTTTTTACTGTTTAAATGCTTTTACATTTTGTTTCAACTTTTTAAGCATTTCTGTATTTTAGTTGCCCCCGATGGCAAGTCTTCTTGCATTTGTGTAATCCTGCTGCATAGACCCTACTGTTTTTATAATTTTGCAAAATAAATGATAGGATAACCAAAGAGTATTTATACTCTTTGTTTAAAGTAATTAGGAAAATAACGTTGAAAATTCCTCAGAGGAATATCCATTTAGTTTAGAACATATTAAAAATCGTTTAATTACAATCAGATTCGTAATCGTATTTTGCATCGCCTTAATTTTTACAATTCCTTTTTAGTGAAATTAAATATGAAAAAACAATCTCACAGTCACTGTGGCCGTCAGAAAGCTACGTGGTAAGTTGTATGGTCCATGCATACTTGTTATTGTTAATGTAAGATTAATGCCGACTTTATAATACGGTAATAATAATAATAATAATAATAATAATAATAATAATAATAATAATAATAATGAGGATGATGATGGTGATGATGATGATGGTGGTGGTGGTGGTGGTGATGGTGATGATGAGCATATCGGGGAACCATAAAATTGCGAAAACGACAATTAGGCCTATCTATAGGGTCCCCTATAGAGCCATATGCAACCATTGCATACGTTGACATAATTAAGAATTAAACTTTATTGAAGACGAACATGTGTTTTTTCATTACCTATCACCTTGCCCTCGAAATTTCTTTCATTATTTTACAGAACACCCTATTAGAGAGTATTTACGCTATTAACCAGTCGCATAGAAATCGCCTGTATGACCTACCTACAGCGCAGTAAGTTCATTATCCGCATCACCATTAAATATATGTACGATATTAACAATCAACAAGAAGACTAGGAAATGTTGTAAATGATTGATTTGTGGTTTAAATTGTTTCGTTACTGTGATAATATCTTGAAAACGAATGTTTAACTATCATTTGCATAGAAAATGTTGTATTATTCGCTTTATATAAACTTTGGTAGATTTATTATTAAGATTTGATTCAGCTTAATTATTAGATGTGCTTTAACTTCTTGATAGCGTGTGATATATTTAGTCAAACGCTCGAAAATAATCAAATAAAACCTAGAATAGCTATACGAGATCTGAGTTTTATGCTTGTTAAAACAATAAACGATGAAAAAGAATTAAAGATAAATATATCAACCCACGATAAATATATTTATCGTGTGGTATAATAAATTTTCATTTCTTTCTGAGTAACGTTTATATTTAAATCATTAAAGTATATAAATTTACAATATAAATCTAACCTATATCTTATTTATTATATTATAGTTTTTAAATTGATTACATTTTTTAATGCTATATCAATGTTAATTTTGTCTTTACAAAGGAAAATAAAATACAAAAGAATCAAAATTCGAAGTTAGAAAACTCGTCATTTTGAATTACTTGTTTTTAGGCAAAACCTCGTTCGGTTGGAGGTGTATTACGAGGATCTGTCGTACACGTCGATATCAGAATCGCCTGCATATACCGTGAGTCAAGTTCTCATTTTACAATTTTAGAAAATTATTTTAGGAAACGTGGAATCAAATTGCATAATGTGATTTTAAAGACATATCGTATACAATGTGTATGGTATTACCATCTGTTAGATTGTGTTAAAACAAGTAAAATATTTCCCTTGGATGTTGTTTGTGAAATTCGAAAATAACCCCAGTCTGTTGAATTGCTCATTCATACATTTATTTTCAGTGAAACACAGATCATTACAATTTACTTTACGGTCAATTATTTATTATTACTAAAATACTTCAATTGTAAGCAAATTAGGCCTATAATATCCCAAAGATCTAAATTTGAACATAGTTATTAACTCATCATATAAAAATGTATACAGTAGCATACATGCATTGTGTCAAACCTATTGGGCACAGTGACGCTTTCAGTCATATTCACTATTTTGCAGTGAGTTAATTTTAAATAAATTTATGTGATTTCTTTAATAGTGGGAGAGCCTGTTTGGCGATATCGGTGGTACACTTGGATTGTATATTGGACTATCGATGCTTACTGTGGTCGAGTTTTTCGAATTTGTCATCGATCTTGTTGTATACATAATCAATAAGCTTTGCAAAAGGAACAAAGTAACTGAGTTACGAGGTGGAATATGATCCCAAATTGTACTTTCAGTGTAAAGTACCTAAAGTAAACGTATCGAATTTTTAAAATAGTTGTTATAATTTTTGCTTGGCCGCCTGCCATGCTGACCAGTCTTGAGCCTGAGTGGCTGTTATTGATCATCAAATGCCGTACCGATTTTTAATTCTTGGACTACATTATTGATCGTTACTAGGTTTCATTCATTTTCTCTATTTCTCCTATTTCTCACAATAATCAGAAACGTCATAACGAAAATATTGAGTATTATATCCCACGCCGCCAGCACTGTGAGAGTAGCCTTTAATTAGTATTATCTAAGTTCGATTATATAACGGTAGAACTGTAAATATATATGTATATATATATATATATAATATTATATATATATATTTAAAACATTGTTGAAAATCAACAATAAACAGTTTACAATGTTTCTTATTCTTTGCGAATTGCGTTTGTGCGCATGTGTCTATTATATAATGCGGGTCCAACGGCTTAACGTCTCATCTGAGTGACGAGGTAGTCGGAGCAATGTGTCTTGCCCAATGATACAAACAGTTTGGCCCTAATACCACCAAGCTACCAGCTTGCCAGTATTGCTTTTATTATTTTAGACATACCTTTTTATATTTGTATCATTTGTGTCCAGGACCACTGTTAATAACAACGTAGTTAGTTTATTTTCTCTTTGTAGTGTCAAGCTTTCTTCATTGAATGTGATTTTATCCTGCTTAAATAAATTGCAAAAAAAAATAAATAAATAAAATAAATAAATAGTATATTTATAAAATTTTTCAAACTATAATTAGTGCGCATTATCAAGTACGCTTATTCTCTGTCAAAATGTTACAATTGGGTCAGCTATCCCCACCAATTTCCGTGGAAATTCAGCAGGAGGATTTATCCGAAGTAAAAGAAAGTTAACGATGATAATATCCAATCCATCTTTCCTGTATTAGTTTTATTATATTATATTGTCGACTCATTTATACTTTTTTGTATATTTTTTTGTTTCTTCTCTTACAAATCATTCGGACGAGTCGAGTGGCCGAGCGTTAAGACAGAAGCGCCGCTAACCACAGCCTTAACATCGGCGCTGGTTCCAGCCGCTCCTCGCCCAGGGTTTGGTTGGTAGAACCAAGTCTTCTCGGATAAAGACTTAAAATGGAGGTCCAGTGTACACATCTGGCTCGTGTGTACTTTAAAAAACCCATTGCATCTTTTGGAAGAGTAGGGGGTTACCCCGACGCTATGGTTCATGCTGTCGTGGAATGATGTGAATGTAGCCGGAAGCGCCTCTTTACGGCGGCTGCGGTAGTCACAGACCACGCCCATATGCAATTCAGCACAATGATGCTGTTATAGGTTATTCTACCTTTACCTTTACCTTTTATTCAATAAAGTCAAACAATTAATTAACAATAAATAATTTACAATTTACAATAATGGGTGCGTATAACGATAAGGCTTGTCTTAACGACAAAACCACAGAATATACAAAAGACAGAACTAAGTGAGGATAATAAGTAAATTCAATTTGGTTAACTGAATTCAATTTGGTTAATCTTGTATTCAACATTCAATGTCACCCCTAACATTGTATATTCATTCTGTTTTTGATTTCCATGTATATGTTTGAGTGCTTGGGAATAGGTTTACCCAGATAAATGGCGCATTATAAATGCATTATTATTATTATTATTATTTTTTTTTATTATTATTATTATTATTATTATTATTATTATTAATATTATTATTAATATTATTATTATTATTTATTATTATTTTTATTTTTATTATTATCATTAATATTATTATTAATACCCAATTGGAAAGTAAATTGATATCAGTTTGATTATTCATTATTATTATTATTATTATTATTATTATTATTATTATTATTATTATTATTATTATTATTATTATTATTATTTGCGCTTGCTTACTTGTGATGAATCCGATATCCTAGTAGCAGCGGGTACTGCAAATGCTATTAGGATGTGAGTTTGCGTCAGGAAAATATCATAGCAGTGATGCTTTGCCCTACCTGACGTGTTATCGTGTCGTGTTAGTGGTTAAGACATCAGGCTAGATACTTGGAGGTCATGGGTTCGATTCCCACCCAAATTACTTGCAATTTTTTTGGCTAGTATTTGGGGATGTACTGAGTATTCGGTACGACAACATGTCAGGTAGGTCAACACAACACTCCTATGATATTTCCTGACGCAAACTCACATCTTATTATTATTATTATTATTATTATTATTATTATTATTATTATTATTATTATTACAGTATATTATTATCATCATCATCATCATTATTATTATTGTTTTTATTATTATTATTATTATTATTATTATTATTATTATTATTACTTATTAACGATTGGCACGTTCAATAATTTTCACAACAAAATAATATCAAGGCCGTTTATTAGATTAGATTAGATTATTCTGGGGCTCCAATTGCTTATTTAATAGTTTTTGGAGGTACTTTTCATATTATATATTTACACTGTTATTACATTATGATAATTATTTTGCTGTTGACTTGATCATTCATTATTTCATTGTAATAAATAATATATTATATTTATCATGATGTATTATATGATTATAAATAAGTTTGATAGAGTTGTAGATTAATGACCTTTGGTCAATAAGTGAAAAAAAAAAACTTTTGTCTTGCATAGTCAGCGAAGCTGACTACATTCATCAAGAATTGTTCATGAATGATATTTGATTGTGAATGAATGAAATTTGGCCAACAAAAGAAAAAAATCAAGGCCATTTCTTTTAGTTGAACCTTGATGATGACAATTGTCTCAAGACTTATTTTATGGCACTTACCGTTATTAACCATAAATTAAAGTGGCAATGGCCTCACATTTAAAATGCATCCTGGAAAAATGACATAAAATGTGTTTATTATGGGACAAGCAGGTGTTTTTTTTAAAAAGCATTAGTCAGACCTAGCCTAACAATAAAATATTGCTGAGGTGATTCGAATTAGAGAGTATGGCCCGAGAAGCGAATAGTTGTGCTATTGAAGCTACAGAGTTTTAGCCACTTTAATCACTTAAGTAAGCAATTTTACACTTTGTTATTTTTAGTTTCAGTTTACTTATTTTCCATAGAACAATTATGATTATAAAACAACAAAATAAAGAAATATGGAAGGATGACCAAAAAAAGAGCATAGCTCGTACAATGCTTGGCCACCTAAAACAAATAAGACAATTTAAACAATTTAAAAACATAAGGATGAGACATAAGACCAGAGACAGGTTGACAATTGTATATAATATTTTGGTGGTCGTTAACTTTCATTCATGCATGAACCAAAATAACACCGGTATTTACCTGGACGTTTCGATCACAATCGGCGATCTTTTTCAACTGACTGTATTGTTACTTCAGTCTGGTGTCATCAGCCCGATACATAAAATGTATAATGAAAGTGTAGGCCTAGGGTATTTGCATCAGATTTCTTATTGGTATGTTGAAAGTAATTTATTTTTATATAGCATTTTAAATATTTTGACAGATGAAGAATTACGAATAGAATCATCAGTACCATTCCATAAAATCGGACCCTTCCCCCCTGATCGTATTCCTAGCTATATCGGTGAAAAGTTATATGGACGAAACATATCATAGGATCTGATGCCATAATTATGGAATGCATTTACTTTAACAAAATAATTTGAGAAACTTACTGTTAATAAGTTATTTATAAATTTATACATAAAGACACCTTTTTGATAACTTATGAATGCCGTACGCATTTAAGTTCAGACTAGCAAATAATGACCCTGAATGCTTTTGGAATTATAGTGACTTTCGTAGATAGACGCATTATGCGCTTTTGCTTGTGAGGACTGTTTCAAGATTGCAATTATCTGATCAGCCCAAATCAAGATACAGTATGAATATGCGGAAGGACAAGAGTCTTATATAAAGATGATAATATATTAACATGTAAACATTTTTTAGTCGAAAAAGAATACCAGTATATTTTGAAACTAAATTGGCAATATAGATTGTATGGTGATTCCAAGTTAAGCCTTCGTCCATCATTACACCTAGGAATTTACAACTGGTAACACAGGAAATATTATTATTATTATTATTATTATTATTATTATTATTATCATCATCATCAATAATAACAGTTTTAAGGTCATTGTAAATACGGTTACTGATGTCTATTCTTAAATACCGTATCATGTAGTTGGGTTATAACATTAAGCGATAACTTGCTTATCTTATAACATTAAGTGATAACTTGCTTATCTTATAACATTAAGCGATAACTTGCTTATCTTATAACATTAAGCGATAACTTGCTTATCTTATAACATTAAGCGATAACTTGCTTTATCTTATAACATTAAGCGATAACTTGCTTATCTTATAACATTAAGCGATAACTTGCTTATCTTATAACATTAAGCGATAACTTGCTTATCTTATAACATTAAGCGATAACTTGCTTATCTTATAACATTAAGCGATAACTTGTTTATCTTATAACATTAAGCGATAACTTGCTTATCTTATAACATTAAGCGATAACTTGCTTATCTTATAACATTAAGCGATAACTTGCTTATCTTATAACATTAAGCGATAACTTGCTTTTCTTATAACATTAAGCGATAACTTGCTTATCTTATAACATTAAGCGATAACTTGCTTATCTTATAACATTTAGCGATAACTTGCTTATCTTATAACATTAAGCGATAACTTGCTTATCTTATAACATTAAGCGATAACTTGCTTATCTTATAACATTAAGCGATAACTTGCTTATCTTATAACATTAAGCGATAACTTGCTTATCTTAAACCAGGTCGAAATAATTGAAAGATCGAAATTCAAATTATATTCTAATTTTGTAAGATAACTTCTGAACCACTCAAAGGCGATACCACGAATACCATAATAATGCAATTTGGAAAAGAGAATATTGTTATTTCATATCAGTGTCCAATATGTTTAACAATGTCTACTACTGGCGCCGTTGTTGGTATGTTGCGTTTATTCAGCAGAAAGCATAACGTTAGAATAAGACAATGTAATAAAATCACAAATTTATGGAGCAAGATGGTTCGCAAATATAACAAATGGGCCTATAGGCCTATTTGGCAGTAAAATACAATTATAATTGATTAATAAAAGTTATGACAAGGTCCATAATTGGTCGAATTTCAGCAAGTTCCAGCAGTACTGGCCACACGTCCTCTCTCCATGGAGTCGGTAGATATCTATTGGCTGCTACCAATGATGATGAAGACGATCATGATGATGATGATGATGAAGATGAAAATTATGATGATGACGATGATGATGATGACGGTGATGATGATGATGATGACGATGATGCTGTGTGTCAATGAGTAATTTTCAACTTTCTTTTATTGACATTCATCAAAACATAATGATATCGTCAAATTGAATTAATTCAATAATTAATTGAATCAATAGAGAATGATGTTGACAATGATAATGTGGATGGTAATGATGACGACGACATGGAGTAAATGAATAAGTAAATGGATAAAATGAATGAATAAATAAATGCTGAGGATGGCAGGCGCGGTTCCAGTAGAGGCACGGGGGGAACGTGCCCCAACCACCACCCCCGCCCCCACCGTTTTGATAATACATTTTTTAAAAATTAAATGCATATCAATGCTGTATTAAAACAATCGCTACTCACTAAAAAATGTTGTGCCCCCCCCCCCCACTTCCCCATTTGAAAAACAATGGTTCTTCCCCTGGATGGCGATTATGATGAGGACAATGATGATGATGATGATGATAATGATGATGATGTTAGTAATGATGATAATGATTATAATGACAATGATAATGTGAGACGTTTGTGCCTTTGCTCTTTAAGCAGATTTATTATCATTAAGGTGTATACAAAAACACATTATACGTTCAGTAGCAATCATGAATTGTGTATTTGCGTTTCATTTACAAACACTAATAAATCATGCCATATTATTTAATTAAATAATGACAAACATCATAATAACAGATTATTTCTTTTTGAAACTTCATCACACGCCATGTAACATTGATAACATGAATGCATATCATCAAAGATAATAAATAGCAGAAGATAGAGCATCTTCCCAATATAGTAGAACATCCGTTCGAAAGGCATT